AAGGTTATTTGTCCAATTCAATGCATATTGTACGCATTATTAGTATTATTATTTTTGTTAAATAAACAAAACCACTGGTAAATAAAATGCACCTTAGTATCGATATTTTTGGTTTGAGTATCGATACTTTCGATACTCGCGTCAGTATCGATATATCGATACTTTGTATCGATACGCACATCCCTATTGCACACCGGTTTGAGCTTGAACTTGCCCCAGGTCTTTTTGAATTTTACTTGCACATGACCAAAAGCGACGATGTCCAAACATTTTAGTTTGTAAGTAGCTCATTCATTTTCACCAGTTTATCAGCTGCTGAGTAGTCACTTAAAAACTAGTGGTTTAAATGTTATTTTGTAATTACATTTACATTTAACAGGCATATTTTATCCAAAGTGACTCACATTGTATTAGATTTTTCTACTTTTGTCCTGTTTTATTTTTGAAAACAGCCTAAATAATTGTCAAACCAAACTTCAATATAAACTCTTTTTTTTTTTTCCTCATTGCAATCATGTCAGTGATTATAAGCATTCGTTTTAGTTCTTCTCTACACAATCTGATAGCTGCACTATTAAACATTTGATCCACTACCAGCCTTAAATTTGTATGTAATGTCTCTAAAATCAAGCCAAAAGGCTTCCTTGGTGCCTGCCTAGCAAGTAACCAATCTGAGACGTGGCCTTCTTGACCGCTAGTGCCAACAAACAGCTCTTTCATGAGTCATACCTTCTGTGCTGCAGGTGGGTGATGAGACATATCTTTGCAGAGACAGCTTTGAGAAACTACGTGTGAGAAGAAGCCCAAAGGTCCTTCAGCCATCCTGGGTCAGCATCATCTTCCTCTTCCACTTCATCACCTCTCCATACTGCTGCATAGAGCAGCTGGTAGCTCAAGAAGTTTCTGAATATAGTTGTCAGTTCAGAGAATGTCTTAACACATATCCCATGAGAACAAGCAATGAATGGAAATTTATACAATGAAAAATGCAAGGCACTGGGAAATATATTCAGTTATGAACTCTACTAATAATGCCTTCATGGCTATAGATAAATATCCTCACAAAAAAGTCAAAATGGCACATGCTGGAGCCAAAACATTCCTCCAAGGAAACCAAACACTTTCTTTTTCTCTCTCGCACATATGTGCTGTAAATATAGTGTTGGGAAGTAACTACCTAAAAGTGACACTACTAACTTTGACTACATTTTTCAGTAGTGTGAAAGTGCTTTAAAAATAGTGTGGCTTTTTAACAAGCATTTTTTCCTAAAGGAATGTGATAAAACATTACATTGATGTATTTCTCGCATTGAGCACACAACTTTGCAACAGAGCCAAAAATTCAACTCGTTCTCAAATATTCATTCATTTTAATGAGTCAAAATGAGCTGTTTAAGAAACTATTTTTCAGTTAGTTGTGAGCGTTTATCCATTTAGTACAAAATGTACACTTTTAGTTTAAGTTATAAATTAAGTGTGGTTCAGCCTGGTCTCATGTTTATACGTAGGTATTAATACGTAACATTTACAAGCACAAAACGTACACTTTTGTACGTTTTTATTAATGCTAAAACGTACAATTTAGACGTATTTCAACGTTTAAAACGTACAAATCGCTACGTATTTTTAGCTAAAAACGTAAGATTATCCTGCCGTAAAACCTGTCGTTTGAAGCGGCAACAGTTGAATTTGTAAAGAGCGCATCAGTCAGCGCGGGCTTTGCTGCTTACGGTCACTGGATTCGCTGCTCGGGATGGAGAAGCAAGCAGATCGCCGAAAAAAGGCTTGGATTTGGGTCTGTTCTTCGCAGTCCGATGGATTCGGAAGATTTGGATTACAGCGCACTAATAAAATTGTTTCATTTCGTAATTATGTTGTGTTTTTGGCGTATTTTATAGTTCTATTGTCAGTCACAGCATGTCGGAGAAAACGCCTTTTGTGGCCCATGACAATCAAAGTAAACATTACATGACAAGTAAAGGTTAAACGATTGCAGAAATGTTATTTATTTTAAGGTTTAAAGTGAAGTCGTGTTTAACATTATGTAGGCATATTCTTGGAAACGAGCTGGCAGCAGAAATCACACAACAAAACGAAATGTTATAATTTCATAAGTAAATGAGTAAACAATTTAATAATGCAATTGAAAACAAGGTAATTCATATGACAACTAAAAACTAATAAAATTAATGCCGCGATTTCAATATTCATAAGGATTCATTTTTAGGTGTCGTCAATACGTCAGTTTTGTACGTTTAAATGCTGAAAATACGTAAGTGTACGTTTAGAGGCTGAAAATACGTCAGTATTGTACGTTTTAGTGCCTGTAAAAACGTACGTAAATGTACGTTTTATTGAACCACATTTTACGTAAAATACATACGAATTATCATGAGATCACGTTGGGTTTAGTAGTAGTTTAGTCTTAAATCTATGTCCATTAATATATATATATATAATAAGTTTAATGCTTTGATATCCTTATTGTCTGTGCCAGATAAATGCTGCATTATTAATCTTAATGTTACTTAATATTAATTTCTACATTCCCTGATATATCAATCAGATTCAGTGTAGTCCTTTTTTTCAGTAGCTAGTGTAGCTGTGTTTTTAAAAGGTTAGTTTTACTGTCATGTTACTACTTTAGATTATGAGTAGCTTGCTTTTCAAGCTACAATTTATACAATTAATACTGGTAAATACAGTCTTCCATTATATCTATATGACTACCTGTAGTCCCTCCATAGGGACAGCAGTGTCAAAGATGGAAGATTTTCCACTCACAGCTTGGTGGCTGGTGCTGTGGAAGGGCCGCCCACTCTTTCTGTGCCTTATTGGTCCAGTTTTCCATTAGAAAATGAGCATCTGCCTAAAGCAAACTCTTGAGAGTTCCCTCAAAGCAGTTATATCCCTGCAGGATAGATGTGAATGTCCTCTGACAGCGTTATTGAGTTTTTAATGCCATAATAACCGCTTCGGCACTGGGTCTCAAGTCAACATTTCCCCGCCTTTGGCCTTTCGCTAAAGCAAAGTGGCTTCAGTAATTTCAGAGCGGAAGCTTATGTCCAGTGATTGTAGGATCAGAGCCATTATGACTAGGCCCAGAGCCAGAGCGAGCTGCTAATGCACATCATTAGCATGTCGCTCCCGCTCATAAACAGTCGTCCGACCGCTGTGTTGACTGCATGTTTGCGTCTGTGCTCCTAACAAAGTGACGGCATTGGATGTGTGATGTCAGCGACTAATTCATTTCCATTCTGCTCAGCCTCAGCCCCGGCAGCCACTCGGTGACAAATTAGCCCAAAAATCTGACAAATTAAATCAACCATGATGAAATCAGTTAATTAATTTTGCTGCACATTATCATCTCATATTGTGAAACTTTTGTCTAATCAGGAAACGGAGGGTTTGTGTCACCTTTGTGGGTGATATTAAAATTAGGCTTCCTCGCTCATTTTTCCATATTTTTGCTTTTAGCTTTTATAAATATTTTGTTTATATATATACAAATATATTTTGATAGTGGCCAAATCAATATTTAAATGGGAAAAAAAAACTATATATATATATATATTAGTGCTGTCAAACGATTAATCGCGATTAATCGCATCCAAAATATGTTTTTGTTTACATAATGTGTATATTTATTATGTATATATAAATACAAACACATACATGTATATATTTAAGAAAAATATGCTGTTTATATATTAAATATATTTATATATAATATAAAATATAAGAATATAAATGTATATACATTCAAATATTTTAAAAATATATACTGTTTGTGTGTGTATTTATTTATACATAATAAATATAAACATATATTATGTGAACAAAAACTTTTATTTTGGATGCGATTAATCGCGATGAATTGTTTGACAGCACTAATATATATATATATATATATATATGTTTAAGTTTGTTTTTTGTTGTTGTTGTTGTTTTTTCATTTAAATATTGACTTGGCCACTATCTGAAATAAAATTAAATCTTAGGGTTTAATTTGACAATTAGAAACAAGACTGTGGGAAAGCAAATTCAGTCTGTTCCATAGTTTGTATATCATCTAATTAATATTCATGAGCCAGTCTGATAAGGTTTATACTATGTTCCCTCACTTCGCAGATTGTTTCCACACCCCTGATTATGATACATCATCGTATCCTCTCATTTCCCTCCCTCTCATCCAAACTACAGGCAGACTTCAGTAGATGTATTATTTTATTCTCATCGCATAACTGTACCTCCAATTAGCCTACCCCTGCTTCAGACAAGCCCGTAGCTCTAATGGCGGTGCACACACATACAACATTATTACATAAATATTACCACAGACAGCTTAAACACACAATCATGCATCTCAGTGCGAGCTGGAGCTCGTGGATCATTAGTGCTTTTGAAGACATGCTTAGCTCCACACTTTGCACAATTTACCACAGAGTTTTGTTTATTCTTCCATAGAAAAGAACTGCTGCATACTGCGCTAATAAATAATACATTTCAGAACAAATGGACAATAAAGTTGTACTGCGTCTTAAACAGACCTGACAAAATAAAGAAATAAAAGCTGTCTGCTTTATACAAATCTCAGTTCTGAGACAAGAGGCGTGTTAATTTGTTTGTTACGTAACATACATTATGCTAGGTAGCCCCGCCCATCATGGGCTCTCATTGGTTGTTTTTAAATATGTAAAATCATCTGATTGGATGTGATAGTAGTAGCATGTCATTTGTAAACGAATCGTTTTCGAATTGTGAAGAAGTCGTTCTTTCACTTTCAGACATATTTGTCACTGACTGAATAGTTCGTTTCTGCATTTTGGGGAATTAAAAAAAAATAAAAAATCAATTTTTAACGCGGTATTTAAAGGTATTTATATTATAGAATATAGTGAATTCAAGGGTATGATCCTGACCCACACTCCTAATCAGTAGGTGGTGGTAATGCACCTAAAAGTTGTATGCCATCCGCCATTAAAACCCCAAGAAGAAGATGTTCGTGTCTGTTGTTAACGTGCAAACGAAAAAAGCGATCGTCTAGATTGTGAATGAACTGAATGATACCTCTCCATCTTGAAGGAGTATCTACTGATCCACGGAAAAAGAAAAGGTAGCAGTTATTCAATTCGTTAAGTTAGTCAATATTGTTCACAACAAGAGAGAAGGAGGGAGATAAATTATGAATACTTAAACACGACTCGTGATTATACAAATTAAATGAAATTTATGTAGGCTGGAAAAACACATGGTGCTATAAATACTATTTGGATTATCTTAGTGGCATGTATTTTAATAATACTCGTTTTGGTTGTGAAGGACTCATTGATAGAATGATTCAAATGACTCACACACTGTAACCAGTGGGGTGCGGTGGTGTTTTAAAATGAGGAGGCAGTTATAATAAATATTACATAAAAAAGAGAACAAATATAATTCTATTTTGTATTTTATTAATGTTATTTTTTATTTTATTTAATATTTTTAATACTAATTATACGTTTCATAGTGTTTTTATGCATTTTTATATTTATTCCAAAATAACTAAAGGCAGTAACAATTTACAATAAGGTTTCATTAGTTAACGTTAGTTAACTACTTTAGTTAACATGAACTAAGAATAAACGATAGCCTACTTCTACAGCATTTATTAATCTTAGTTAATATTAATTTCAACATTTACTAATGCTTTATTAAAATAAAAAATTGTGTTTGTTAACATTAGTTTATGCACTGTGGACTAACATGAACTAACAATGAACAACTGTATTTGTATGAACTAATGTGAACAAAGATGAATAAATACTGTAATAAATGTGCATTGTTTGTTCATGTTAGTTAACTCATTAAATGACACCTTATTGTAAAATGTTACCAATATTTTTTATTTGTGAACTTATGTTCAGCTGTTCTTTTTAATAGTCAACTTATTTCGGGTCATCGTCATAAAAGCTCTGTAAACACTGCCACAGACACGAAGATATATCTTTCATTTCATCACGCTGAATGCTCACTAAAAACAAGCAGTCATCAAGTTTTCAGACCATTTCAAGTTTTATTTTGACGTGACACAACGTAGTGGTATCTAAGTGGGAGAGTTGTTTACTTACTTTATAATTAGTCAATAACGCCATCATTTTCTTCATTCAGACCGAGAGCTCACATGAAAACAAGAGGCGGGATTTATCACACGAACCAATCACATCCAGCCTTAACCGATCGTGTCCAATTATAGCGCAATGGAGGCATTGACGCTTTGGAGTCTCTGTAGAAAGTCAATGGACCAAAGGGAGGCAAGCCTCCGCTGTAACTTTACCTGTGGGTGTCGCTTTTGGACAGTGTTACTTTATAAAAACGAGTGACTTTTAGACTTTTAATATCATATTTAGTCATATTTGCGCTGTTTTATTTTTGTAATATCGATTATTTTCTCATCCAACTTTTTGAGGAGACACTGCCTCCCTTGCCTCCTCGGAGGAAACACCCCTGACTGTAACACTAAAAGACAATTTCCTGTCACCACCTACTGGTCAAAGAAAAGAAGGGATCACTAAACGAATTAGAGAATGCATCCAAGTAGAACGGATTCGAAAGATTCGACTCACTGATTAATTAATGATGAAACCAACAGCCCAAACACAATGTTATACTGTAATATCTTTTAATATTTGTTCACAACTAGGTATTAATAACTATTTAGCAAATTATCTCTGGCTGTGAATCCAGTCTGATTTCCTCGTATTCAATATGTTTATTCATACTTCCAACTAATGTTCAAGAACGCTTCCCATGTGGCTCTGAGTTCTCACTTATAAAGTCCATGGGTATCAGACAGTCCTGCTGAGAGCTGTCTCTGAACGGAATCTTTTTTTAATGAAGGATTTACAGTCCGCTAAGGCTTGTTACTACTAAAGAGATCTTTCTTCTGTAACACACATATGCAGGTTTTTCACTAATTTATCCAAAAATCAGTAGTGCCAGAATGTAGAAATTGTGCCCTTGTACACAATTTATGGCAACAATATAATGTGTTGTGATAGTTAGCCATAAAACTGAAAAGGCAAAAGGGTTATTTTTGTGTTGTTTATCTTGGAGGGGCTAATTGAAGTGTCACAATTCATTATACAAGCTGTGTCCTCCACCCGTCCAGTGGCAAATGACAGTATCAATCTCCCTCTCTGTCTCCTCACATCACTATCCCAGCATGACTTTGCGTAGGAGTACAAGTCTGTCTATATTCAGAAAACTCTTCCTTTATCACTTTCATGGGTTGGATTCGCAGGGAATGCAAGAACCGCATTAAATACTTTGTTAGCTTGAATTCTCTGTTAGTCACTTAGGATAAAAGCATCTGTCAAATGCACAGATGTAAATGACAGTGTGTTGTGACGTCAAAAAAGGCCAGATGTTCAGATGAGTTTCAACATATTATATTATTCGTTTAGGTGCTGTTAGAAGCCGGAAAGAAGAAAATGCTGTGAAAGTCGCTCTTTGCAGAATGGCTGCACCCTTGGAGGATTGCTGTCTGAAATAACAAACTTTCAGCGACTGGTTGAGCCAACAAGTGTTCCAGACACTCATAGAAATGCCAATCCATCCAAAGGTAGGTTCCCCCAGGCTTCTTACCATCTTTTGTTCTTGAAGTGAAATAATATATTATCAACCTGGTTTCCTTCTCAAGCTTCATTTGTTATTGCCAAGCATATTGTGGTAATGCTGGATGTTTAAATGTCAAAGAAATCCAGTGCTATCCCACACGAATGAGGGGTATGAAATGTTATTGCTTTTCTCAGCTGCAGATAAATCAAAGGTGATGACATGTTAATCCGGGCTGATAGACTGATGACATGTCTTCCTGACAAATGGCTACTGTATGTTGAATTCACCCTTTTTTCTTTCTCTGTTCCACAGTCCTGTAATTGCCATTTAAAAGTTTTTAGGGTTAAATTGATGGATGTCAATCTTAACAGTGCGTTACGTCCTTCTATTGCACTTTAATTTATCCTGACATCAATCATTTACCCCTGCGTGCTTCATTACAGACAATCTCTAAGAGAGGGAGAGAGCGCTCTCGGTTTTGTCCTTCTTTTAGAACTGAGAATATCATATCCGGTTTTCTCTCCTGAGCAGCCGAACAAAGGTGCAAGATGCAAGATATTACGTCTTGCGTTCATGCAATAAACATCACTGCAACTCAGCTCTCCGCTGCAATATTTATCTTCCTTTGCAGACATGCAGCACAAACCAAGCAAAAACCCATCAACGTTAGCAACAAATGAACAACTGATCCGGCACCCATTTTGGAGATTCCCCTACATTATACTGTGAGAAAACTTAGGATGCAGGTCGATAGTTTCTAACTCATTCTGATATCATCACATCATTCACATGGTGCAGCTGATTGTTTTATTTTTCATCAGCAGCCAATGAGCTTGCTGCTCAACATTGAAATACTTGGCCTAGTGCTTGCTGTAGCAGTTGTAGCATGCTTCAGAAACCCTCCGCCTTACCCAGCTCCACCTGTATAGATCTGCTATTAGGTAATTTCATGTATGTTATATATGGGGGTTATTTTATATATGTTATATGTGCAGCAGCAGCAGTATTGCATGTCTCACAGGCACATGCATGTCTGTGGATGTATTGGCAGTAGCAAAGAGAGTCGTCATGACAGAAGTGAACAATGCTATCTACATTTTAAGCACCTGGCATGCAGTTTAGAAAGTTTCATACTGCAGTGATAAAGTTGAGTTCCAGGTAGTCATTTCGTTTTAGTTAACAATAATAACCCTGGTTGGACCACATTGATTTTCACTGCATGGACCAAAACATTTGATAGGAAGTCTGTGGTTTAAAACAACATAAGAGAGTAAGGCCCAATCCCAATTCTACCCCTTAGCCTTTCCCCTTTCCCCTACCCCTCCGTTTTGCGCGTTCACGTGAAGGGGTAGGGGTGTCTCGATTCTCTTTTGGTTGGAGGGGTAGGGGTAAGGGGAAGGGCCAGATAGCCCTTCAAACTAAGATTTTTCGGGACCACTCTTCAAACAAAGGGGTATGAATTATCTCCGCGTAAACCGGCTTCAGGGGCAACATGGCTTCCCGAGCGAACAAATGTATTGTAGGAGCTAGACGACGTATGAGATAGTAGTGGTGTCCCAATTCTTAGGGGAATATTTTCACCCCTACCCCTTGACACTCTGTTTCAAGGGACAAGGGGTAGGGGAAGCGGTATAAAATAGAATTGGGATTGGGCCTAAATGATAACAGAATTTTCCCTTGAATTATCCCTTCATGTACTGCTCAAACAGAAACCACTGAGTTTAGATTCCACTATACATAATGGCCTCCAGGGTTGGATATGTCAGTGTCAGAAATGCCAGTTTTCCCCTGCAAAAGTTATTCTGTAGATCAAACAGCAGAGCAGTGGGTTTGATTCCAAGGGAATACATGAAATGATGAAATTTGTACTTTGAAAAGTTGCTTTGAATTAAATTGTCTGCCAAATTCATGTATATAAAGGCATACAGATCACTAGCATTTGTCATGGGATGATTCCTATACCAGAAGAAACAGAAAGGTCATGCTTTTTGTTGTTGTTTTGCCACAGGACAGTGTGAAAAAGCACTAACCGTCGCTATTGTACAATGAGTTGTTTTTTGCAGCACTGTGCAAACCTTTGATCTACTTTGTTTGTCTTCCTTTACTAGCAATTAGACTCATTAGTCAGAATGTGTGTGATACAATCATGAATTAGGATGCTCATTAGTGGAATGAGCGCTGATGAGCAGGATCATTTTACTGATGTAAGGTGTGTAACGTCTCTTGTCTCCGTACTGATGACTGTTCTAGTGGGACATGGCATTGACTAATCTCTCTTTCTTAACTTTTTCTCTCTTGCTTGCTCTGAAACAGCAGAACACTTTAAAAAAAGTTTTGGAACATGGTAGACCATCTTGGACCAGCAACACACCATCTGCTCATAGCAACTCAAGGTGGTCAAGCTGGTTTTTGGAGTAGTAATGGCCAGCTAGAAACCATCTACCATGTTCCAAAACACAACCATCATCTTAAGCTGGATTTTCCAGCAGGAAATACACCCTCTGGTGTAACTTTTGGGCCTAATGATGGTGTATTATCACAGGATGTGTCATACCAAGCTTTGACAGTTCTCTCTCAGGCTGCAAAATAGACAACAATAAGGACTGACTTTCTTCCTGGGGTAATGGCAGCTCCCCTCCTGTCTCACCTGTGCTCCACTGAGAGAGAGTTCTGTGTTGCATGCTCCCCTATTGCTTCAGTGATGCTAAATTATTGCCAGAGAGAAAGAGAAACCCAGGCAGCGCTCACTGAACTCACAAATCCTTCATAATATTGTAATTATGGAAGCAGGAGGCGGACAACAAAGCAAACAACAAAGCTTAGAGAGAATGGAAAGGAAAGAGAGGTCGAAGGAGCAAGGCAAGTGAATTAACTGAAAACAATAAATATCTCCTAATCAAACCTCTTGATTGCATTTGTTTTTACCGTGCTGGCCTACAAATGCCTGCAAACGTACTTCTCTCTGACGGCTGTGTACTATTTGAGTTCTTTTTAGTATTTCTCAAGCAAATCCATTGCCCTATAAATGTTTGCCCGGGTTCTGAAGGCGTTACCATGGTTACTGCTGCTCTTGTAAGTTCTTAGACAGGAAGGAGGCTTGAGTTAAGCTGTCCATTCAAGGCTGACGACAGACTCAACACCACCTTGAGGATGAGGAAAATATTGCAGTGTTTTTGCCTACATTAGGGGTTTTCTAACTGAGCTTTCAGGACCCCCAGGAGGCCTGCAATGTGGTCAGTGGAAAAACAATAGTAAAATATAAAATTTAAATAAAAATAAAAATCCATAAATATATAAAAATATAATACTTAAAAAAACATACATAACAGTATAATAACAAACAAACAGCAATACATTTAAATAAATTCAAATGTGCATTAACGTTGTTACTATTTATGATACTTTCTAAAGGTCAGAAATAATTAAGGACAGTTTATTCTATTAGACGTAACTAATAAAATAGCTGTGATATAATAATTGATTTATTGTAAAATAATTGTAAAAACTGAATGATTGTAAATAAAACTAATTGTGATAGTTTCCTCTCAGGTTTATACAATATTTTACAGATATTATTTTTTTAATTTATAATATTTTATATATTTTAAAATATAAATACATTTATAATTTATAAAATAAAGAAAAATAGTTATACAAATATTTAATAAATTCTAAATGTATACATTTTACAGTATAAATCTTAGTCTTTAAATACATATTTATTTATAATATTGGGTGGTCTGTGGGAAAAATCACTGACCTAAATTTCCTCTACTGCTCCTCTTTAAACAAGCTGAGACCTATTGTTTTTTTTATCTTTTGGGATAAAAGAGCTTGATGTATATAAAAACATACTATAACTTTCCCTCCAGTCCAAAAATTGAAAAGAAAAAAAAAACTTTGACAATAGTCTACAAAAACGATTCATTCTGAACTTGTGCAAGATATCAGACAAATGTGTTATTGCTGCTATTAAAGGAAATACTCAATGTAGAGACCCAGAAATCACTTTGTTGCGTGCTGCTTATGAGTGCAGTGTGAAACAGCCGTACGATCCTCTCATCTTCTTTCTGTCTACTGTCTAATGACCCCTGGGTTAGCACATTCACCTCCATCTAAAGATGAACAAAAGTGTACTGACTGCAGAGTTGTTGTTCCCTTAATTCACGGCTGAACTGTGTACCGCTGTGCCGCATTCTCACCTATTGCACGTTTGGTCTATGGGGATGCCTTTTTGACCTCTCCCTCCTTTCAATTCCATGTGAGTGTCTTTTCTTAGCTCCATCTGTTGTACCTAGAAAAGTAAATAAAGACGCACTTTCATTTACGTTTCAACACATATGCACAGATTATTAGCTACTGTATTAAACCTAATGCTAATGAAGTAGGAAGCACTGAAGAGGCTATAGTTAATGAAAGGGTCTGCATGAGGTCCAGAACTTAAGGAGTTTAAAACAGTTGAACCTATTAAACAGATTATATGTCTGTCCCTTACAGCCATTTGCATTTTATTTGTGTACCATTAAATATGATGTCTACCTTGATTAAGGTCTATAAACTTACTCCAGCCTTAGTCTGAAATATCTGTAGATATAATGCAGTAGCACTGGACTGGGAGGATTGGTCTGTTGACTGACGTATCTGGTCTCCTGAATGATAATGTCGTGGATACCTGAGATCTGTCTAAAAATAAAAGGAGTTTCATAGCCTTGTGGATTTCTCCAGGGGAGGTGCCATTTGAAAAGTGCCCTGTAAAAGTTATGCTCACTATGACAGGCGTATATGCCTGGGGTGGTGGTGAAATTGACTTCAATATTGCTGTTAGTCAGTAAATAGAGCATTGCGAATATTGGCTGCCATTTTTACATTTTCAGAGATCATCTGAAACGATCATCTTATATAAGACAATATCCTCACGTTCTTGGAAGAGAAGGCTTCTTTAGGACAGTTTCAAAAATGCCAAATGTTTTATAAAACATCTAAAAATAAGATGCAATTATTTTTTCCTCACATGCACTTTATAATCTTATCATGTGTATTGAAATGTCTTTATTTGTTTATCTTTATTTCATCCTAAAAAGAATGTAAGAAATAATTCTCATAACCATAAAACAAAAAGTCTCATTTTCATTAAAAAATTATTTTATTGTATTTATACATCATAGTTGTACTGCCTTTAATTTATGCATTCATATGCATTGATTTATTTATTGCTTTATTTGAAATTTTGAAATTTTTTTTATTTGCTTTTTTTTTAATATATTGTATTTATAAAGTTAAAATTACCATATTTTATGCTAAATTAAATCTGTCTAAACTATCATTTTGGGTGAATTATACAGATATTGTCGCTATCCATAATGCATATTATTGTATTTTTGCTTTATATAGTGACACCTTTATATAATAGTATTTTATTTTATACTTTTATTTATTCTTTACTATAATAGAGAAATTATAATCTGGTGAGGGGAGAAAAAAACTACTTTTTCAGATGCTTTACGTAATGAATTTGAGAACAAATTTGAGAAAGTGTTATGGTCCTAAAATAGGTTAGTTTTCTTTGTGCAAAATGTTAATTTAGTTAATTTGGGAATGAATTGTGACCTGGACACTTTATTTACACCATATAATCTGCCCTCTCAGAATGAATGGCTTTTACTGTACATGAAGCCTGTGTTAACAGTGAGGATTTAACCACAATGTAACCTCACCATATAACTATTCATATATATGACACTGTACTTCTGGGATTCTGACATAACAAAAAACTGAAAGACTGAACAAATAACGCAGTTCAGCGTTTGGGATTTCTTTGCTGTCGCAAGAATGCAAACGAGTGAGGACTCCTAATGCACGAGAAGAAAATCCACTCTTGGTACTTAACGTCGACTGTTCTACATTATTTCTTGAGATTAAATAAACAATTTGCCACAAACAGACTGACAGGTCTGTGAGTTTCATCTCTCTGGAGTGGTGCACTGAAAAGGGAGTAATTTCATTTTGTGTGTAAATATCTGCTTGGTGTCGGCAAGTGTAGATTCACCAAAAGCTGTGCTGTCAGCCCAGACAAGCAATTACTGTTCTTTGTATAGTTTACAGGTGATGGACATGGAGCAGAGAACCTCAGACCAGACACGGCTTGCAAACGGATGAGGACAACCTGCGAGGATCAACGTGCACATCAAATTCAGAGTGTACTGTCAGGGAGATGAAGTGTGTTTGTCTGCATTTCCATACGAGCCGAGACTGCAATCGAGTTATACATACACGCAGGGAAGATATCTGTTCTGTCATGTTTAGGAGTGTGTGGAGTAGACCATCTCCTGTGGTGGAGTTGCTTTCACTTGTCAGCATGCTTGTTTAAGAACTCACCTGGCTAAAGGCTCAGATCATCTCCAGATTGAAGATTCTTTTGGGTCGATTCTTTCTGCATGCACATACCCAGCATGCTAGAGAAGGGAAATGAGGTGGAAGGAGATTAGCCCACCCATTGATCAGTGCTGCTCAGCTCTTCATCCTGAATTTTACTTGTATGCTGCCTGTACAAAAGGTCGTTTTGCATATCATGATGGCAAGATTCAGTGGCTGTGCACATGGTATTCTGTTCAGGTGATCGGGGATGTCAATTAAATGTTGCAAGTGATTCCTCTTAAAGAGACAGCCACAACAATGTTTGAATGAGTAAGCTGAATTCATTTTAAGTGTTAAAAGACCCTGTCCACATTCGAAATCGCATACTCTCTGAGTGAGTGCTATTTTAAATAAGTGATTACTTAGTGACTGTCAAAAAACTGTCTCCTATGTAGTATGAATGTTTGTGGTATGAATTAGGGGTGTGCGTGTGTCCTTATTCGGAAAGGTACGGAAAATGGCTTCAAAACAAATAAAGGATAACAAATAATTTTGCTGAATAATATTTGGCTGAGGCTGGCACATTCACTCCTCGTGTTCGCTGGATAACAGGTGAGCCAGAGGATCAGTGCGACATTATACATAAACTTTATGAATTAAATGAGCACAAATCAAACAACCGCTTTGTCATTGCTTCTCCGTGCATCTTTCAGAAATCAGAGCTTGGCAAGATTCAACTAAAATACTACATCATACACGTTCTACTGTTTGTGTATATTTAAAGGGGTCATATGATGCAATTTAAATTTTTCCTTTCTCTTTGGAGTGTTACAAGCTCTTGGTGCATAAAGAAGATCTGTAAAGTTGCAAAGACTAAAGTCTCAAATCCAAAGAGTGGCTAACTCTTAACTTTTATAAATAATATCACTTTGGATTTGAGACTTTAGTCTTTGCAACTTTACAGATCTTCTTTATGCACCAAGAGCTTGTAACACTCTAAAGAGAAAGGAAAAAATGAAATCGCATCATATGACCCCTTTAAACCTTGTACGATATGATACGAATGGAATAAGCACAGCGCTATCTCTGCACGTCTCAGTTTCTCAAAAACCAAACCAGCTGTCTGTCAAGAGTAGACTAATAATCAACTTGGATACATACAGGCCAACATTTTCTGCAAGGTCTACATGTTTGCTGCTTTATCTTTAGCTTTTTTGCTACATTTGTTTAGTGAAGTTCAAAAAAATACTAGCTTAAGAGTTCTGCGTAATGAAAATGTGCGCCTTGAATTAATTCAGTCGTGTTCAGATGATCACTAAACGTTTGTCATGAAATCTCTCTGCTTTTTATGATAAATTCATTTTTAGAAATGATTAATTTTAGAACACTGAATAGTCGAAACACAAATATTTTTCCGCATTTGTTTTTTTCCATACTTTTCCAGACTGCGCAGGAACCAGTGAGCCAAGGGAAAGATATTTTACATAAACCTATAAAATTACCAAGCAATAACCAGTGTGTGAAGTAAATGAGTGTAAACTCTATAAATGAAACCAGCGTAAATCAAATAGCAGTGTTGCAGTTGCCTTTTTCATTTCCTGGAAATGACAAATCAATTTCCATATTTGCAAACTGCATTGTAATGTTTTAATTAGAAGATATTTCGATATTTATTTATCGATAACGAAATGTCCCCAAGCTGGCACTCAAACTCGCGTCACCCGAAGCACAACCGCACTGCCTATACAAGGGTATCGGCTCAGACATATAAATAAATGTTATAATCATACAAAATAATTATTTTAGTTAAACACAGCATATTTGTTTAGTCATAACTCTGAAAAAAAGTAAGCCCCACCTACTTCCTGTTTTATCCGAATACAGATACAAATAATTTTGTGAATGGCCTCCCGTGGCCTCAGGGGATAGTTAAGTGTCCATTGGATGTGGAATAGTAGGTTATGTGGATATTTTTTGCATGCTGTTTTATGAATACTGTATATTTCAGACATGCTGTTCACATATTGCTTTTGCCTATAAATAGAATGCTATATAGTATACTATATAGTATAATGCTGCCAGTGTTTGACTGGGATGGGTAGCCTATTCATTTAATTTTAAGGCTGACTGCTCAAGGCCAAGCTTTTTTTTTTTTAAACGAGAGTTTTAAATGATTATTTAATAACATATGGCTGTTTTGCTACATGGAGTGTTTTTTTGTTTTTTTTTCATTAAAAGCATTATAAGCTAAGACCTGACTTGTGTGTGTGTGTGTGTGTGTGTGTGTGTGTGTGTGTGTGTGTCTGCGTGTGAGTGCGTGTGCGTGTGTAACTTACCACGTTAAAGCCAATTATTATTTTTCTTTTCTCTTTGTGTAGTGTTTTTGGTTAATGTTTTATGGCAGTTTTGTCTGTTATACACGTCAACTTGACTTGCCGTAACACTAAATTATTCAAACTGAGCTTCGCGTTAAATAGAACCAACCATTAAATATACTTCTACATAGTAGGTGAAAAACAGTAAGTGAAAAGAGTAGTATGTCAGAATTCACAGTATACATAAAACAGTAGGTCTGTGTCTAAAATCACATACTATCTAGGTACTTTTTTGAAGAAGTAATTACTTAGAGTTGGCTGCTTCTTCCACTTCAAGTTGTTGTTCTACACGACTGGTTACAAACTTTGTACTGCGGCCAAGAAAAACAAAACTTTTAAAACATAATGATAATTTCCCAAAAAGTTTTCCAAGCAGAAACACCCATGTAGATTTTTGTTATGTTCTAAGAAATCACATATTACTTACTAATGGCAATTTATTTTCAGTTCTTGTCACAGAGCGCTTTCTGATTGCTGTTTAATGAAATACTTTCACAAATCGTGTGCTGTGGGAAATATCCTGGTGCAGCGCCGGCGGAGCAAGAATCCTCGATAAGGTAATTGATAGATTGAGTGTCCCACCTCCCCTCCACTGAGCTGAAGAGTGCCACCCTCTTCTGTGCATAAAGGGGCATTATGGGTGAAGCTGGTAAAGGAGAACATTTTTTGTTTTGGGTTGTTCCATTAATGTAATTAATGAACTAATTATCGAGATGGGAAACGAGAGGTGAGGTGTGTGCATGCAAGTGGATGCGAGTGTGTGATTTGTAAACCAGAAATAGCATTGCACATAAACGGAGACAGCATAACAATGATGTGCAGACACCTTTGCTGTGTTCTGCTGTGATCTATAGCCGTCGCTGACGTAATGCAGTTTGAGTCGATAAATGCACCCACCATAATATTGTTACAGTATGCTGTCATATTGTCATACTTTTGCATCAGTCTATAACACTTGCGCAGGTCCTCAGGACCTTTCCGAGCGCTGGTCATCTAGGAGATTTATGTATAGGCTGAAATGAACACTCCAGGGAAATGGCTCCATAAATCCAATGAAACTTACATTTGTACCAACAGTAATCATACAAGCCCAAAACATTTTTATGGATCCCCTCTGACTCTGGTTTAACTTTTGCCCCTGGCGATGGGAAGGTTTGTAGGTACATGAAGTATGGTTCTCATAAAAATGTAGTTGGGAACGTATGAGCTTTATGAAGGAATAATTGAACATCTAGTTAAGAAAAAGACAAGAGCTCTGTTATTTGTTTACTAGGCCTTTAAATGGGGATGCTGGGGCTTGTAAGTGGGCAGTTACAGCACCGTCCTGGTTTGCATGTTGCGTAAAATGATGAGTATGTTACTGAAAATGGACCTGTGTTGTATTTCTATCATCTTTGACAGTCTGACATGTTTTGCTGTTATTTATTTATTTTGCAAGTATGAGAGAGATGTATTCTCACTTAAACTACAATCACAGGATGGCACTAGAAATGGAGGAATCAGTTCATATTTTTAAACCACTTTAACTTTGTTTCGTTTTAAAATTTATTAGAGTTGTCAAAAATTTTCACAGAAATTTATTTTTTCATGTATACTGAAAAAATATATATATTCGAGGTTGTAAATGTGTAGCGTCTGGACCAATCAGACACACCATTTTTCATTTGATTTAACAAATCAATTATTCATTAGATTAACAAACGTTCACAGACCCCTCACCCAATAAACATACTGGGTGCCCAGGAAATTAACGTTCTTAGAATTGACAGACAGTTGACCCTGAGAGGTCAAGTAAATATCTACAGCGGATCTAAATATTTATAATTAATTATAACTAGTTATGATTAATTATTCATATTTCCCCATGAATGAGCTGATTTGCTACAAATGAAACAAAGATTATTGAAGTTCATCAAGTATATGCTATTTCAGTCTTTCTACTTCAAAAGTTTCTTTGCAGTTATGAGAGATTTAATAGCTATTTCTAAGTTAATTAAAATTTCTAAGTGAATTTTTACATTCTACACCATTTTTCAAGTGTATTACATGTACTGCATACTATAACAACAAAAAGTTGATAAATATCTAGATTGACCAGCACTAGTTAGATCATGTACGCACAGAGATTCTGCTGCTGATGTTTTGTCACATCAAAAACAATAAGAGTGGGCTTACTTTATGTATTAACTTCTGCAGAAACATGTCTTAATGTACAATTTTTTTTTCTGTTCCAAGAACAGCTAAATCTCTATAGCAAACACAAAGTATTAAACTTCCCTCCAGGAGCAAAGTCAACAAAGCTATCATTGTTTTTCCCATCACTGGCACCAAACAGTCCCACGTCTTGTCCTGTGTGGAATTAGTGGGTTGGCTTGAAGGCCTGTGACGGACGTGAAACAGTCCATAAGTTAGAATCCCAATAAACAGTTATAGTTCGCCTCTCTTCTTTGTAGTGAATCCATTGTTGCCATTTTGATATTAGTGGGGATTGCGTGCCAGCTGCCATGTCGAGGAGTGCCAAGGCAGATGGGATAGCAGCAGGAGGTATTTTGGGAGTGAGGAAAAATACATGCAATGTGGTGAGGAATCTGTCCTTCCAATCTCTCGTTCTTTTCTCACAGTAAGGGCTGTTTAATCCACTGCTTCCCTACCTGGCCACAGCAAGGTGAACACTACTGCATTCATTAGTAAAGCACTACTTTTCTTTAATATCGACTGTAGGTTCTTGATCTTTAATTATAAAAAATGGTCATAAATCAATTGTGAGATTAAGTTTAAAATAAGAAATATTGCCACAACATTCTACATCTTTAAACTTCTAAGTAAGAAATATCATTGCTTTAAAACCAAATAGTCTGTACCAGGGTTGGTGCCGGAGCACACAAAGTGAGGGGGGCATGCACAAATATATATACACACAAAAAAATGATACGCATATTTATTATACATGTATTATTGTATATGTACAGTGGTGTGAAAAAGTGTTGGCCCCCTTCCTGATTTCTTATTTTTTTGCATGTTTGTCACACTTTAATGTTTCAGATCATCAAACAAATTTAAATATTAGTAAAAGATAACACTGTGGCAGTAATCAGGCCTGGGTGTGGCTCGAGAAATTGAACTCAGGTGTGATAAACCGCAGTTTTAAGAGGGGGGCAAACACTTCTTCACACAGGGTCATGTAGTTTTGGATTTTGTTTTCCCTTAATAATAAAAACCTTCATTTAAAAACTGCATGTTGTGTTTACTTGTGTTATCTTTGACTAATATTTAAATTTGTTTGATG